GCTGCCACAGCGCCGGTCCTCGCAGCTCCAAGCCCATCGACGAACGAATGATAACTACTGAGATCTATCCTGGTAAGATTACCAAACTTCGAAGAAACTCAACGAATCTTACAAATATTTAATACGAAGAAATACAGTGGGGCCTTGACTTACGAGTTTAATTTGTTCCGAGACCGAGCTCGTTAAAAGCTCGTAACTCAAATTACTCTATCAACTCAATGAAAAAAATCGGCCGAGAGACAGCTGGTATCTCAAAAAACCCGTTAGTCGGGACACTCGTAAGTCAAGGCCCCACTGTAGGTGACTTATAAGCAAAAACAACAACAACAACAAAAAACAGTAAAAGACTTGTTGGAACTTCTCAACAACATAAGATTTCAGGGGAAAATGGAGCAAGCAAATGTCTATAAAATTTGAACAGAATAAAAATGCTAACGTCCAAATAGTATACTGAACAAGCTGTTATTTAGATGAGAAGTCAGCCGAAGGGCATTCTAAATATGCAAAGAGGATTAACGCACCTTTATGAGAGTTTAACTCGGCCAGAGACGACGTCCTGGATCAGAGATTTAAATAAAACCTGAAAACCTTTCATTATCTTGGAACGGGAACATGTTTTCTTCCCCGTGACCCAGCAGCCAGACACCGCGAAGGAGAAAAATGAGCGATATTTCCATGCTAAACACAAACAAAACAAAACGTAATTACATATATGACAAAAGTGCTTAATATCTTATTACACACCAACGTTTTAACATCAACAAGAAAAGATACCCAGCCGAAAACAGCCACGTACATGAAAAGGCAGTTCATAAAGGAATCCCAAGTGTGTGTGGAGATTATATATATATATGTATTCTTACCAGTAATTACAAAATTTCAAAGTGAAACCATGCTTTTCACCAAGTAGCAAAATTAAAAAACACAGACAATGCCCAGTGTCCCCGCAGGAATCCGAGTGTCCTGGTTGCAAGTCAGCAATAGCGTTGAGATTGTAAATGTCAGCCTCTCCCCTTCCAGAACTTTATGATTACGCAGCAACTGGACAGGCGTTTACAAGTATGTATGGTAGCGTTTTCCCATTCACACGCTACTGAGTGACCTGAAAGTGCCCATTAATAGAAGACGGTCTAGCTCATTGTGATACACGCATGCGATTGGACGCCATACAGACATTCAGCCAATGGGCTGTTTCCGTGTTCACAGACATGGAACGCTGTACCCACACGTGTGGTGAGATTGAAAACAGAGATTTTGAAATGAGAATTGTGTGACCACATTCACATGAAAAATGTGTGTGCACAGGTGTGTGTGCGCGTGTGTGTATGTTCCCATCCACATCACCCAGATACCTGAAAACATTGAGCGCCGTTACCGATGGGGAGTGAGACTGAGGTACTATTTTTGTTTCCTTGTCCCTTCTTTGCCTAAATTTTCCTCAATCTCTAATTTTTAAATTTACAGTAAGGGAAATAAATAAAAGTGTCCTTGTTTTAAAAAATAATTCAGAGTGGCCAGTGTGGTTCAGTGGTTGAACATCAACCTATGAACCAGGAGGTCACGGTTCGATTCCTGGTCAGGGCACATGCCCGGGTTGCGGACTGGATCCCCAGTAGCGGGATGTGCAGGAGGCAGGTGATCAATGACTCTCCCTCATCATTGATGTTTCTATCTCTCTCTCCCTCTCCCTTGCTCTCTGAAATCAATAAAAATATATTTTAAAACATACTTTAAAAAGTTCATACCAACAGATTTTGACTTTCAACAAATATTGTAGAGTTCCTTAACGCAGGTGAAGGTCTTCTTAAAGCAGGCCGCCTCGATCGCATCAGCATTGCAGAAATAAACAGACCCCTCCCACCCCCAATGAGAACGCACAGGCCACGCGCCCAGAGCTGCCACAGCCAGGGGCTCAGCCACCATCATGGTGTTTGGCCGAGACTCGGTCGGTTCTGAGTTGGAAGTGGGGGCGAATGAGAGAGAATCTGGCCGCGGTTGACCAGGCGCAGACTGTGTGGGGCTAGTTGCTACCGAGCTTGACTTCTGGGACCGGTTGCCTCAAGGTGGGTCTATGTTATCACCCGTGCTCTGGCCAGGCGTGTCTCTCTGTCCAGCCTCTCTATGTCCTTCCATTAATCTACAGGATCGGCCACACTGTTCCTCAAAACACGGACGTTTTCCCTGGACTCAGCCAGACAAGCATCTCCATTAGCTCAGCAACACACTGGGGATCGGATCCAATTTATATTTCCATCACCAGCGAGCAGTAGCGGCCTCCGATTCTTTACCGACTTAATTTGTGAGTCTGAGTTACAGACCCGGCTTCCACGTCATCGTAACGGGGGCTGTTCAGAGCCGTCCTGCAGCCGCCGCCACCACTGCGGGGACGCTGAGACCAGCCCTGTGCCACGTGCCAACACGCATCATCTCCCCCTCCCGCCCACCTCAGCATGGGGTCCGTCTCACACAGGCGGCCACCGAGGCTGGAGGGCCGGGCGCATGGCCGCAGTCCCGTGCGGGATGCTAGGGGAGCTCAGATGTGTCTACATCCAAAGCCTGTACGTCTCAAGCAATACGCGGCCCCTTGGAAATGACTCGGCCGCACACACGGGCTCCCGGAGCCAGAGGCGGCTGGAGAGGGACCGGGCCGATGCTGAGCCACGGACCTTGCTTCTTTGAGGCTGTGGAAGCACCGGAACCCGTGGTTCTTTCATGGACCCGGAGGTTCCCATCGGCGACAGGAAACAGGACTCCGGGACCTTCCTCCCCGGGCAGTGACTGCAACTCGTGTGGATAAGGACCGACCGCTTGCCCACGGATGCGGGAAGCCCCCCACCCCTCCTCCCCCGTGTGCAGGGGACGGGGCACAGCCTCCTCCGGGCTGGCTGCTCCAGCAACACGTTCACACCGGGACGGTCGTAGATGGAAATGCCCGTCTGTTCTCTCCGGGAAGGTCCCTGACAATAGCCCGTCGGCGCTGACCCAGGGCAGAGGCAGCGCCTTCCCGATGGCCCCGTTTCCCCGCTGGAGCCGCATCCAGTCGCTCTAGGCGGCTGCTCTCTCCACTTCCCCGCGGGGCGCGAACTGCAGGCACACCTTCCTTTAGGCCTTTCCTACTTGCCTACCCTCTGAGAGCCCCCTCCCCCCGGACTCAAGCCCGGCCAGCTCTTCTTTTTAAAACAAAACAAAACAAAACATTTTGATTGATTTCAGAGAGGAAAGGAGAGGGAGAGAGAAACATTGACCAGCTGCCTCCTGCATGCCCCACACTGGGGACCGAGCCCGGGGCCCGGGCCTGTGCCCTGACCGGGAATCAAACTTTAACCCCCTGGTTCACAGGTCAACGCTCAACCACTGAGCCACCCCGGCCGGGCAGCGGCCAGCTCCTCTTAGCCAGCCTGTGCCGTTCAGACGCCTGAGCACCCCCGGGAGAGGGTCTCTCTCAGGTCTGCGGTTCCAGAGGCCGAGGTGGAATCGCCCCATCTCTGCGGCCAGACCACCTGGGTCCCCTCTTGGCTCTGCTGCTACAGCAACCCTGGGCAGGCGCTGACCCTGCTCCTAAGGCTTCCCTGGGACCCAGGCTGACAGCCCAGCGCAGAGGAAGGCCTCTGTGCTTACGGCAGCCGTGGGATGAGCTGGTTCACACACGCCCCCCTTCACCCGGGGCCTGGCATACAGGGGCTCCCAATACTTACTGTTCACCACGTGCCTGAACCGGCACATCTGAGTCTCAGCTCCAGGCTGCTCCACGGGACGCGGCGGGCAGGCCGGCCACACGAGCGGAGGACAGCTGGCCTGATGCGCGTGGCGGCTGGTGAGGCCCCTCGCAGACTCTCCCCGCCAGCACTGCCCAGTGGGGTGTGGCTCCCGGGTGCCGGTCCTGCTCTGTCCTCGGCTCCAGCGTGGAGACAGGTGGTGGCCTCTCACAGCTGGGTACTCCCCCACCCCTCCTGTGATGGGCAGACTCTAAAGGGGCCCCTGTGACCCCCACCTCCCGTGGTAAACCCTTCCCCTAGGGGAACAGGACAAGAATGTCACGTTCACAATTATGTTCCACAGGATCCCGGGGCCACTGGCTGGATGACCCCCCTGGCAGGTCTGGAGGAAGCGGGCATGAGGGGGGCACGCCACGGGCTAAGTAGGCGACACAGAAGGTGCTCCCGGAGCGGCGGACCCCCTGACAGAACACGGTCTGGGAAACGGGTGAGCGTCCAGACGCATGCAGTGAAGAGGAAAGGCAGCGGCTCCTTAGTTAGGATGCTCTTGCGTGTCGCAGAGCCGAACATGCGTGTGCACGTTTATTAATGTTATGCTTCTGAAATAACACCTCCGCAAGGCAGCAGCAGTATTTTAGAAAGGGGTGTCAGGGGTTGCTATGGGAGGGTGTCAGCTTTCCTGGGCGGGGGATGGGGCCGATCAGCAAAGTTTGGGGAACTGGCTCCCCAAAGATCCAGTTCCAACCCACCCACCTCCGGCCACCCAGCCGTCCGTCTGTCTCATGACCTTTACTGGCGGGATTTCTGTTTCAAGATTTTGAAACGGTGACAAATTTCCAAGACAAAACATCGATCCGTGTCTGAATATGTTTGCTAGGCAGGCAGCCAGGGTTACCTCAGCAGGGCAATGCCGCTCTGGCCTCGATGGAGAGAAATACAGGGGGGCCGCGGCGGCGTACTTTGGTGGATGTCACCAGACTCTTAGAAAGGGAGACAGCGCGTCCCAGAAGCACTGGCCTCGCTAAGCCGTTTCAGAAACCGCATTGAAAAGAAAGTGATTCCGGATCATGGGAGCACAGGATCCCGGGCAGGGAAAGAGCCATAGCACTGCCATTTGGGTAAAAAGACTCATCCTTTCCGGCCAATTGAAGATCAGAGCGAATGTGTCCGCTGGCCCTCGGGAAAGCTACTAAAGGGCCCCAGGAATAGTGTATGTCTTGCAGCGGAGGCTGGAGACGGTTAATACTTTTTAAAACCTCATTTACTCCAGACCAGGGAGGAGGGGAAAGGGTACTAAGAGAGCAGACCAACACGCAGGGGTGAAGGTGTGACTGATTTCTCGCACATGAGTCACGCTCTACGGCGCTGGAGGTGCAATCCCAGCGTCCTTTGCACACGTCTTCATGACTTTGCTCTTGGGAAGGGAGTTTTTTTCAGCCCCGTGCCCACGCCGTTGCGGAAGGACCTTTTCGCAAACGCCTCCTCCAACAGCGGCTTCCGGACGTCCAGTCCCTCGCCCGGCCCCGCCCGGGCCCGGCAGCAGCCCAGTAGGAGGAGGGCGTAGTCAGGGGTCCCGGACACCTGGGGGCAGACGGGGAGGGGAGAAACGGCTGCAGTTACACGTTTATTTCCACAGTAACCGTTGTCAGGATCGCACGGCCATGAATCCAAGAAACCCAACCCCTGTCGGGGGAGATTGCTGTTAAATAGGACGTAGAGGTTCTCTAGACTCAGCGTCCTATTTGCAGCCACCTGCCCTCCTGCCTGATGTCACACCCGCAGGTCGCGTGGCTCTCCGGCACCGGCGGAGGCACCTTGTCACGATCACTTTATGGGGAAGCTTTTGAGTGGCTCTAATGAGCCCGGGAAACGCTTTTTAAATTTCACCGAGAGAAGCGATCCCTGACAACCCAACTCCAGCTTCCAGTTGGGACGGCTTCCCTTCGGGCGGGTCCTGGCCGCTGGCCCGGGCTCCCCCTGAGGCGTCGCCCTACCTAAACGGAGGCGTCTCCCTACCTACACGGAGGCGTCTCTGCCTCTGGCCTTTGGTTCGGGTCTTCGTCTGGGGCTCCGCGGTCAGTGAAGGGGGCGCTTGGTGGGGAAGAAAGAAGTCTGAGTCTCAGAGCCCACGTTGCCATCGCGATGCTGGGGTTCAGCCCCTACCTTGTGGGGGAAGAAGCCACGTTCAAGAGCAAAGGGCGTGTCCCAGGACACAGGGCTGGCATGTCCCCGAGGCGGGAGTGATCCAGAATCGGGTGAGAACTTTCCACCCCTGTCCTGTGTCCTCTCCTCCGTGGCCTCGGAGGCAGCACAACACGGCAAAGCACAAAACGACACACTTTCCACCAATGGGAGGGCGTGTGCCTGGCCTGGTGCTGCGCGCTCTGGGTGCGCTCTCTCAGGTCAGCCCCTCCGCAGGCTCTGTGAGCAGACGTCGCCGCCTCAGTGGTACCCGCCCTGGGATGAGGAGGTCACATGCTCGGAGGTGGAGAGGGATTGGAGTCGGGGCATCTGACTCCAAGCCCACGGCTTTCAACTCGACGACGGACAAGGGGGGAAGGGGAGTGCGCGCTTTTATTACAAATGAAGAAACAGACTACAGGGTACTAATCACACACTGTCCTTTCCTGGGGTTTGGGGGACTTTGGAAATTGAAATGGGGCCAGAGGCATAGAAGCTCCCGGCCCTCTGCCCATGACTGGGGGTGGAGAGGTGGGGGGTGGGGGGGGAAGGGGTTCGGGAAGATGAAGGCTCCCCAGTCGGAGCTCCCAGGAAAACCACGTCTACCGGCTCCTGGGGAAAGGTGGGCTTTTTTGTTTTTTGTTTTCCTTTGATCTGGGAATAGTCAGAGTCAGACACACTGAGCTCGGGAAAACCAGTCCACAGCTGCCATTTGACTGCACTGTGTGTCTCCCGTTAGAGAGGAAACCTCAGCCGGACCTGAACGCCAACCACTGTCCGGCCCCACAAGGCCAGGCCCTAGGTCACTTCAGGAAAGGGGTGCGACCGCTCTTCCCAGAAACACCCCCGACGCCACCTTCACATTGGGAAAGAGATGCATCGGATCTGGTCATGAGACCCCGAAAGCCTCCCTAACAGGAGCCGGTGCCCTCTGGGCCCGAGGGAGCCTGCCGAGCAGCCCGTATGGTACAAGCCCCCCGAGGGCGGACTTGGGGATGTTCCCGCAGAAATTCCAAACGCCCGAGCCGCCGTGGCTGCAGCACAGTCACCTGAGCCGCCAACTCGTGCCGTGGCTACACGATGGTTTATAATGAGAAGGGAGGGCACGGCAGAAGCAGAGGCAGACACGCGGGGGGCAGAGCTGGACAGGGAGCGCTCGCAAGCGCGTGAGAGGGACGTGCGCGCTTCATTAAAAAGGAAAACTGCACACAGTGCCTCTCGCTCAACCGGAGTGTCGGACCGCACCTTCGGGGGGAGGATAGAAAGTCGTTAGGAAGACACGTGAGGAAATACACCAAGTTATGGCCGGGGACTCAGCGACTCCATCGGGTGGGGCCTGACAGAATCAATGACTACATTTGGGCGAATGCAGGCAACACAACAGGGAAAAGGAAGCAAGAGTAATGAACACAAACGCAAAGATTAGTGAGAACTCCAATGATATACATGACTACTGGGCATGTATTTGTTATTGACCATTTATGTGGCATCTAAAGGTAGTTTTCATAATTGCATTGATTTTAGTACCCCCAGGGTGCCAGGGGAAGTTTAGTGAAGCAAAGTTAAAGCACTAAACACTAGGGGACAAAAACTATTTTAAAATTGCAAATAAAGAACTGACATAAAACAACAAAGATCTCATGTGGAGATGGTATAAAAATTCCAAGAAGGCCTTGTGGCTTCTGATGTCCTGAGCAGTTGGATGACTATAATTAGGGGCTCAGTTGATATTCTTGAATAAATATAGGAATTAATATTTTATGTGATATTTGACGAGATCTGACATTTTATCTACATTCTACATCTGAACAAGTTAACCATTATCGCAAAATTAGGAAATTCACTGTTTTTGAAAAATGAACCATTGTATTTTTTCTGTTTTTGTTTTTTTTTAAAAGTTGAATCTATTGGGGTGACATTGGTTAATAAAATGCTACAGGCTTCAGGTGCACAATTCTATAATACATCATCTGTACATCATTTCAATGATCACATGTTCACTTTGATTATGTGTGGATGCTGTGGAATGAGTAAATTGTCATGGGCAAAGCAATTTACATTTTACAGTGAAATAAATACTGTCCTATCCAGTAGCCAACTTCTAAATAATTCCGAGCACACTGTATGATATTCCGGTATTGCCTATTGTCACATAAATGTTTATTTTTACTAATTTCAAGACTTTACTTATATATTTTTTCTTTAAAAGCTCTAACAATAAGAAAATTACTTTTCTGTCACATCTCCCTGGAAATTAGTTTGAATTGGCATTGGACAGTCCCCTCATCGACTCAGTTCCCAAAAATGGAGGCAGAACGCTCACCTTCGGCGATGGGGCGGGGTAGCACCAAAACACGGGCATCGCGGAGACGGACAGGACGAGGATGAGGTTGAATTTTAATGAGCTGCAAAGTAGAAAAAAACACCTGGGATCAGTATCACTCAGGCCAGCACTAACTGTGAAAAGCATCTCTAAACAGCATGCACGCAGTCAGCATCTTTGGGTGGAAAACGCAGTCTTTTACCTGATCATCTCGGACGCTCCGAATCGCTGCAGGCCGGAGGCTTCCCTGGCGAGCCCCTCGCACTCGCTGTCGCGTCTCCGCGTCTCCTCGGCGGCCCTTTTATAGCGGGAAAGTTCAGGAGTAGAAATGCCATCACGTCCCATCCTCCGTGACTAATTGGTCCGGCCGTGGCCTTTTGTTCTTGTCAAGTTCGAAAAGGACAATCCCGCACTGGCGTTGGCATGAAGCTGCCAGCGGTTGACTCCCTTTAAAGGGCGCCGTTAGCAACGGTCCCCCAGCAGCAGCGCCTTCTGGGCGGCATCACGGTCTCCAAGGAACCGGAAGTCCGCTCCCCTCTGAGTCCCAACACGCCTGAGGGTGACATGATCTCTATGAGCGGCCCAGGCAGAGACTCACGCAGAGGGACCCTTTGCAAGACAGAGAGCGCACAGCCACACAGCTCCTGCGCTGCGGTGTGTTTTCTCCAACAGATTTCCTTCTTCTTCTTTAAAAAAATATATTTTTATTGATTTCAGAGAGGAAGGGAGAAGGAGAGAGAAACATCCATGATGAGAGAATCACTGATCGGCTGCCTCCTGCACGCCCCGCACTGGGGATCCAGCCCAAAACCCGGGCAGGTGCCTTGACCGGGAATCGAACCCTGACCTCCTGGTTCACAGGTCAACGCTCAACCACTGAGCCACGCCGGCCGGGCAGGCCTCCTTCCTTAGGACTTGGAGGCTAAAGCCGGGAAACAGATGTCGCCCCCGCTCTTTGCCGTCAGTTGCTCACGTGAAGGAAGGGCGCTGTCTCTACCCCTCTCCACGCACATCCCCCACAACCCAGAGTCCTGCCCCCTTTCCTCCAGGCCGTGGCCACTCCGTGGGAGTCTGGGGGACAGAGCTGCCGAGGTCTGAGGTCTGAGACGTGCTGCCTCCTGGTCGGCCCGCCCTCCCTCTCTCTGGGAACTGCCGCTCTGGAGGATGTAGCTGTCAATCACTGAGGCACAGGTCGCCAACCACAGGTGGCCCGGACTCTCAAGGGACCCAGGTCACAGAATGAGTGCCAACGGGGAGCAGGGCATGGGATCCAGCCCTGTGGTCACAGTCCTGCTGGGGACACGGTGTGAGATGACACGATGGCGGGGAGATACGGAGCCTTTAAGAGACCGAGGGACGGAACGCCCGCATGGACGGCGGGGCTCCCCCTGAACCCAGACGCAGTGAACACATCAGAACGAAAGGGCACGCGGGGAAGATGGCAGCACCACGTCTCGTTGCGTGATGAGCTGTCGACTGAGGAGGTCTGAGAAAGGTGCCTAGTGACGTGGTGATTTAGTGACGGGCCCACAGCAGGCGTTCGCGGAATCAGTTATTTTCGGATGTGAAGCAGGTGGCACTAGAAAGAGGAGAATCATTTGGAAGGTTAAGACTCAGTTCAGTCCCATATCCCTTCCCCACTCCCCCTAGAGCCCAGAGATGAAGAGGGAGGGGGAGGGAGGGAGGGAGGGAGGGAGGGAGGG